CCACAAGTCTATTTTTCTGCTCGGTGGCTGGCTGTCCTTTGCCTGTGTTTAGCTTGTAATTATTATTTCCCTAGTTTCTGTTTTTGTTGTTGCCGTGGCTTTGGTCTGTCTCCTTGGCCCAGCCACACTGTGTTCCTGAGAAAGCTCTGGACCCCAGAGGGAGAGATCTCCATGGGGTCCACAAGTGGCTCTTGTCTGCTTGGGATTTCTAGAACCTTCCTGTTCACTTCTAGAACCTCCCTTCTTCCTCCCCTCAGTCTTCTTTCCCTGTTTTCTCCCTGCCAGCTGGCCTGGCTTCCTGTTTCTTCTTTTCAATTTTTCTTTTTTTTTTTTTTTTAAATTTTATTTTATTTTATTTGAGAACATACTGTACAGAGGGGTTACAATTACATGGGCAGGATAATGCATACATTTCTTACCAAGCATTGCAGCCTCCTCCTTTGTTTACCCTTCACCTCCCTTCCCAGCCTCCCCCCTCCCCCCCACCCAATCATACCCCCCTCCCCCCCCCCCCACACCAACATTGTAAAGCTGGTTTTGACATGACATTTTGTACTTCTCACTGTTGTTCAATTTTTCTTGTATATTTCATTGTCTTTCTCCTTTTTTCTTTCTTTCTTTCTTTCTTTTTTTTGTTTTGTTGGTCGTGGGGCCTGAACTCTGGGCCTGGCCCTGTCCCTCACCTCTTCAACTGTAGACTAGCACGCTACCACTTGAGCCTCAGCCCCACTTCCGGCTTTTTCTGCTTATGTGGTGCTGAGGAATCGAACCCAGGGCCTCATGCATGCAAAGCAAGCGCTCTACCACTGAGCCACCTTCCCAGCCCCTCATTGTCTTTCTCCTTTAGCTGAAATCGCCAGGGACTGCTTGAGCCACACCTCAAGTCCTTTTGCGGTTAGTTTCTCAGATAGGGTCTCGCACTTTTGCCTGGCTAGCCTGCTCCTATCTCTACCTTCCTAGTAGTTAGGATTATAGGTGTGAACTACCATACCGTATTTTTGAGACAGAGTCTTGCTAACTTTTACCTGGGCTGGCCTTGAACCACAATCCTCTGATCTCCACCTCCCAGGTGTTGGGCATCTGAGCAAAGACCTTCTGCAGGAGAGAGGGGCAAGCCAGATCACTGCATAACAGAAGAGGCGTGCTGCCTGGGGCAGGAGGGGACCGCAGGAAGCAAGCTGTCGGTTGGGGTAGCTGGCGCGCTCTGGGGTCCCCGATGTTGTGGCCAGTACGTGACTGTGTGCCGCATAGTAGTTTCTGGAAGGCATCCTGTGGGTGGATATCCCACTTTGAGCCAGGTCAGGGCGGAGCTGGGGGCCGGCTCCTCACGGCCCATCTTTGCTTTGAGGAAGTCCAGCCACTCTGTGAGAACCTGCACACGGCACTCGCACCCTGCGTGGCAAAACTCCTGGGCCCTGCTCAGCGCCTTGGCTTTGGGATTCGCAGTGCTGTGCCTTGGCGCCCCTCATGGAGGGATGTGCGCGGGAGCCCTTTAAGTCCGTCTTAGTGCAGCCCCAGTGGTGGGAATTTCGTGGACTCAGAACCACTGGATCTGTGCTCACTCAGTGCTATGTTAAGAGCTAACAACACAACAAGGGACTAAACCCAGGCGGCGGTCTTCACCCTGACTGCTCTGGAGCTCAGGGCTATGGGACCTGGCCCAAGGCCACTCTGCCTCAAGGGTAGCCCAGGGTGGTGGCTCTCCCCTGGGCAGCACCTTGGGTCCCTGGAGACACCCCATTCCCCGCGTCCCCCCCCCCCACTGAGGTTCTGGCGGCAGGACCTCCGTGTTTAGTCCAGGCCTCTCTCAGGGAATCTCTGGATCAGCCAGGGCCCCATCCCTTCCAGAGGCCTCACCCAAGTTCACCGAGACGAGCTCTGAAGGGAAGGAGATGGGCCAGATGCTAGCAGGGACCGGGATTTCTGAAGGAGCAGATGTGGAAAGAGAAAACCACACTGCTGCCAGACATGAGCAGGGAACTGTTCACCAAGATGGGGAGTGTGTGAGTGTGATCGAATAAGTGTGTGTGCAAATGAGTGTGAGTGTGGGAATGTGTGTTGTGTGTGAGTGATGTGTGTAGGTGTGGGAATGTGTGTCTTGTGTTTGTGAATGAGTGTGAGTGTGTGATTGTGTGTGTGAGTCTGGGTTGGGGTCTGTATTGAAGGCACTGTACAGAAATACTGTGTTGTACGGAAGTGGATGCCTGATTACACAGGGTAGCGAGAGGCAGATGTGCCTGGGTGAGGCCCTGGACTGAGGGTGGGGTACCCAGGGGTGGGGGTGGGGCTCTGAAGGCAGGGAGGCCAGGCCCCGTCTGCCATCGGTGGGAGAAGAGCAACTGGGGTGAAGGGGAGCTGAGGGTGGCCAGCAGGACACTCTGATGCAGCGATGCAGTCTAGGGTCATTGTTCCATCTAGTGTCCTGAAGAGGCTGCCGTCATTGTTTGGCGGAGGGGGACTGAAGGGGACCGAGGAGGAGAAGTGGCTGTGGGGGGACCCACGAAGTGTCTCTTGTCACTAGTGTGTGTGTGTGTGTGTGTGTTGTGCTGGTGCTGATGCTTGCACTCGGGGCCTGGGCACTATCCTTTAGCTTTTGCACTCAAGGCTATAGTGCTCTATCACTCGAGACACAGCTCCAGGTCCAGCTTTTTGGTGCTTCATTGGAGTTGAGTCTCATGAACTTCCCTGCCTGAGTTGGCTTCAAATCGTGATCCTCGGATCTCAGCCTCCTGAGGATGACAGGTGTGAGCCATGGGTGCAGGCTGGCAGTCAGCCTTTGAGGATCCGAGATTACTTCCCCCCCCCCCCCCCCCAGTGCTTCCTGCTCCCACACAGGCCATCCCCTGGGTGGATTGCGGTCCCGCTCTGAGCCTGGATGGTGTGGGGGAGGGGGCCTGGGGAGCACACACCAGCTCTCTGAGGGCCATGCTGCCACCCTTGGCATCAATGTCTCCAAATGCCACTCTCCAAACCCTGCTAGTATGTGCTGGAGTGCCAGCATGCCGAGGGCCGTCTCCATGTGGAAGGACCACAGTTCTCACATTGCCGACGGGCCTGGTGCTCAGAGAGGGCCCTGACTTGCCGAGGTGGCACAGCCAGGGAGTGGGCACCCAGCATTGTGAGGTTATGTTGCCATCTTCTGTGTGACTCAGAGCAGACTGCCAGAGGACCAGTTAGTTCCAAAGCCCCTGTGCTCAGCCCCCAGCATCCTGGGGACCAGGAATACACTGGGGTCTCTGGGGTGCCCTGACCAATGCAGGGCTCCAAGATCAGGACAACCACTCCCTGGGCCAGAGAGGACCCTGAAGTGGTGACCTGAGTCTCAGTTTCCTTATCTGGGAAGCAATGTGACCATCCACCCTCCCTATCTCCTGGGCTGCTGCGGGGGGCCCAGAGGGAAGGCCGGGAAAGGGCTGGGGAAGTGGGGTTCCTGTGAGTGGCAGCTGGAACTGTCCACCAGGTGGGCAGAGCATCCAGATGTGGTGGCCAGGCTCCTGTGTGTGTGTGTGTGTGTGTGTGTGTGTGTGTGTGTGTGTGTGTGTGTGTGTGTGTGTGTGTGTGTGTGTGTGTATGCGTGCACGCAGAGGGAGAGCACGCCCCCTAGTGGAAATGGTCATGCCGCAGCTGGGGGGCAGCTGGGGGGGCGGGGCATGGCTGGATGGAGCTGGGTATTAGTCCATGCTCACTACCACCTTGTGTGCCAGGCTGGGGCACCACTGGCTCCCACCCTGCGCTTTGCCTGTCACCGGCCCCATCACCCAGTCAGCCAGCACCAGGGAAGTTGAGGCCCAGAAGCCCTGGCTATCCATCTTGCCTCTAGCTGCTTTGGCCAGCATCCTGCTAGCCTCCTATTGGTCTGTCTCCAGAGGTGGGCAGAGACAACAGAATGTGCTGGGAGGGGCGTGGCCTGTGTATAAATACGACACAGTCCTGCATACCACTATCACCTTGGCGTCATTTTATTGTTTTGCTTTTGAGGCACAGTCTATGTGGCCTAGGCTGGTCTAGATTGTGGGACCTTCCTGCCTCAGCCTCCTGAGTGCTGGGATTGCAGGCAGAGTCACGGGTGCCCACCCCATATACATATTATACACATATACACACACATTATATTAGTATGATTTTAATTAATATATTTATAATATTTTAAAATTTTCTGAAAAACATGGAAACCCCACATTCTATTGAGTGGGCTGTCATAAAATCCAGACTCCCATTTACCCTCCTCCAGAGGGGCTGACACTCCGGAGATGTAGGCTGGATGTTGGGTCCAGAGGCTCAGGACACTGCCCTCCTCCGTCCACACACAGGTGTGTCTGTACTGCCCCAGGAGCTTTCTGCCTATGGTGCTGAGGCCTGGCAGGTAGGAGGATCAGGGAGGCCAGTGGGAAATGGAGCCACAGAGCGGGTCAGGCTGTGGTCTCTGCGGCTGGAGCCAATCCTAGCTGTCCACTGGGAATATGAATATGTGTGTGTATGTGTGTGTGTGTGTGTGTGTGTGTGTCTGTCTGTCTGTCTGTCTGTCTGTCTGTTGTGGGGCCTCAGAAATAGACCTTTATTTATTCTTGCCCAGATTTCTGTGTTGTTCCCCCAGGGGGAGGGCATGTTGATCAGACCCAACAGTGCATGTACTGATGATTAAATCTCACAGCATAGCCGGGCTCATGCCTGTAATCCTAGCCACTTAGGAGGCTGAGGTCTGAGGATCATGGTTTGAAACCAGCCCAGGCAGGAAAAGTTTGTGACACCCTTGTCTCCAATTGACTACTCCCGAAAAAGCTGGAAGTGGAGCTGTGGCTCAAACAGTAGTACCAGCCTTGAGCCAAAAAAGCTCAGGGCCTCCAGGGCCTGAGTTCAAGCCCCAGGAATGGCACAACACAACAAAGCAGAACATCTCAGGTCACATGGGCTGAAACCAGGCACTCAGCCGCCCGGTGTCCAGGAGATGCCATCCTGCCTGGGCGCCAGGTAACATTTCTGCTTTTCCTCTTCCTGTGCAGCTACAGCCTCCGCCTGGCATCCCGAAGTCCCTCGTCAGCCACCTACATCACCAGGCAGTGCCGGAAGGTCAAGGCCTCGGCTGCGCCCCACTTCCAGACACCTTTCTTCAAAGAGTAGGTGCTCGCCTGCCCTGACAGGTAGGAAGCAGGGAGCGGTGGCATTGGTTTCTGACGTGCGTGGTTCTTGGGGGTGGAGAGGCTGGTGTGGGCTGTGGTGGGCTTGTCTAGGACCTTCCTCCAGGAAGGCCTTCATGACCGAAGGCAGAGACGTGGGACCCCTGGGCTTCAGACCCTCGCTCTGCCACTCACTGACTGCTAGGCCTCAAGTCATGTGATCTCCGGGCCTCAGTTTCCACATCTGTACAATGGGGAGCACAATAGAGCGTGCTTTGTGGGATGATTGTGCGCATAGTAAGGGTCAAATGTATCCAGAGCATGTAGCCTGGTGCCTGGCCATCACTCAGCTCTGGGTGTTAGCCTGTGGTATGGTGATATAATGATAAATAGTGGGAAAATAACAACAACAATCGAAGCTTCAGGGCCTGTAAGTCCATGAAGCATTGTGGAGTCTCCATTCCCACAATGGGAAAAACCTGGGAGGCAGCCAAGTACCCGTGGCTCACACCTATAATCCTAGCTACTTAGGAGGCTGAGATTGGAGGCCAGTTTGAGGCCAGCCTAGGCAGGAAAATCTATGAGATTCTTATCTCTGGTGAACCACCAGAAAGTTGGAAATGGAGGTGTGGCTCACATGGTAGAGCACCAGCCTTGGATTAGGGAAAGCTAAAAGGGAGACAATGCCCAGGTCCTGAGTTCAAGTCCCAAGACTAGCACAATAACAACAAAATAGCCACCAGTGCATGTGGTCATCGCTGTTTGTTTCCTGTTTCTCCTCAGCACCAGAAGTGACTTGGAATCAGTGAAGCCAAAGGGACTGGCAGTCGACCCTGCAGGAAGTAACAACCGGGCCCCGTGTGAGATTGCGAGCGTGCGTGCGTGTGCGTCTGGGCGTGCGGGTCCACGCATGCCCTTCAAGCCAAGGTCCCAAACCCGGGGGAGCAGGCAGGCAGCTGGCTCACACCATCCTCTGGACTGATCCTTGGATGTGACCCCAGAAGGTGCTCTGCAGCTCAGTCTTGCTGTCGAGATGGGGTCTCTCATACTATGCAATTTCTCAAGAGCTCCTTGCCCTGCTTTTTTTTTTTGCTTCTTGAGCTGTCTTTGGCCATTGTGGGGACTTTGGGTTAACCCCCGGAGTCAGCCTTAGTCCTGCCTGAGGAAGGCCTTCCAAGAGGCCAAGTTCCCCCTTGACTCCCACCCCTACCTTCCCTCTCCCCCCCTCCCCCCCGCCATGCCTCTGGGAATCAGTAGCATATAGACCCCACGGGCTGAGCCTGAGTCCTCAGCCCCAGCACTGGGAGGAATCCTCTTTCCTGCCTGAGGAACCAGAGCAGAGGGTCATGCGTGCACACACTTGCACGATGCACACACTTGTGCACGTGCATGCGCATGCGCGCACGCACACACACATACACACACACACACAGAGGAAATGAAAAAAGAAAAAAAAAAGGAGAAGAATTTACAAAAAGGACAGCGGGAAGAGGAATGATTTTCCTGCCAGGGAAAGTCAGGGGTCACATCAGCTTATCCTGGACATAGTCTGGGTCCAGCTGCGAGTTTGTGTTTGGGTCAGTGAGGTTGGTGGGTCCTGTGCCTTGGGGGTGGACCCCGGGCAGAGGGGCCCTGGGACCCCTTTGGTGCTGTGTCCCCTGGGCACATGGCAGGCCCCGGGTGGTGGGACAGCGCGACACCGTAGAGAGATTTGTGTTTTCCTTTTTCAGGGCTACTAGGGTTGATCTCCCAACTCTGTAAATATGTATGGAGACGCTTTTAAAAAGCACGTTATTTATGCCCCCGATTGTAAATGCCCCGTTTTTAAAGTTTTATAATGCCTCTAATCGAATCCGTCCGTGTCCTGGCTGCGGCATGGGGGTTCCGGGGATTCTGGGAGAAAGCCACATGGGCAAAGAGGTGCCGGCCAGCGGCCCAGGTCGCCCTCGTCCTAGCTTCCACCCAGCTAGAGCTGGTTCTTTGTTTTCAACTTGTAAAAATCCATCCATACCCCAGTGGGGGCCTCTCACCAGCACGAAGCACGGATGCAGCTTTGTCCCCTGCACGTCCTCACTCACGGACTGTGCCCCGGCCTCTGCACCCCGAGGGGAGAGAGGAACACGCAGCGAGCCGCCAGTGTCGGCGCCCAGGGCTCCTCCTCGTCCACACACCTGCACACCAAGCCCCGTCCACACTCGGCTGTGAGGAGAGCGCTTCCGCTCACAGAGCCCAGGCTGTCCCATGGGGAGTGGGCCTGCCCGGCCGGTGGGGGGGAGGGGGTTCCTCCAAAGGCCTCCAGCTTGGGGCACGGGTCAGCTGCCTCTACTGCGGGAAGCCAGTGGAAATAAAGGCTGGAGAGGGATGGCGAGGAGAGGGCGTGGTGTGGTCTTTGTGGATCTTGGCCTGTGGTCTCCCGCATGGGTGGGTGGGTGGCAGGGCTGAGGCTGAGACACAGGCTTTCTCAGAGACTCCCCTCCCTCCACACACACACATCTGGAAAGCCACGTTTCTCTCGCTGGTCACTCACTGACCCTCCAGTAATGAAGCCATTTATCCAAGTCCTAAAGTCCAACCATGCCTGCAAACACAGGCGGCCTGCCTTTAACATAGAAAGAAAAATGTTTCTCTCCACAATTTTATTGAGAGCCAGTTCACAGGCAGTGTGCCCCCTTAGAAACTAATGTTTAGGGGCTGAGACTGTGGCTTAGAGGTAGAGTGCTTGCCTAGGATGCATGAAGCCCTGGGTTCGATTCCTCAGTACCACATACACAGAAAAAGCTGGAAGTGGTGCTGTGGCTCAAGTAGTGCTAGTCTTGGGCAAAAGCAGCTCAGGGACAGTACTCAGGCCCTGAGTTCACCAGCCCCAGGACTGGCAAAAAAATAAAAATAGATAAATAATGTTTGGAGGATTTATAACATGTGCAGCCATTGTGGCCAGCAATTTCATGTTTTTTATTCTGTTTGGACTAGGATTTGAACTCAGGACTTTACCACTTGAGCCATGCTCCCTGCTCTGTTTGTTTTTAGCTTATTTTTTCCCATGGCTGGCCTGGACTGAGATCCACTTATACCTATGTATGGGCTACAAGCATTCACCACTACATCCAACTTACTGTTTGAGATGGGGGTCTTGCTAACATTTTGCCTGGTCTAGTCTCAAACTATAATCCTGATCAGCACTTTCCAAGTGCTGAAGTTACAGGTGTGAGCTGCCACATCTGCTTTAGAAGATTTTCATCACCTCAAAAGAAACCCCAGATGCGTGCTGGTGGCTCATGCCTGTAATCCCAGCTACTCAAGAGGCTGAGCTTTGAGGATCGAGGTTCAGAATCAACCTGGGCAGAGAAGTCTGTGAGACTATCTCCAATTAACCACCAAAAGAAGCCAGAAGTGGAGCTGTGGCTCAAAGTGGTAGAGCACTAGCCTTGAATGAAAAAGCTAAGGAACTTTCAGCAGCCACTCCCCCAATGCCTTTACTATAAAACCTCCTTCTATCCCTAAGAATCTGTCCATCTTATCCATGTCATATAAATGGACCATGTGACACGCGATTTTTGGTATAGCACCTTCAGGTTGTATTCAGTCTCTTATGGTACCCAATGTTCCATGAGCACATGCTCTATGTCCACTTATCCCCTGCAGCTGATGATTCCTGGATTGCTCCAAGATGGGGGCTGATACAAAGGATGGCACTAATTGGGTTTAGGTGGCTCACACCTGTCATCCTAGCTGCTCGGGAGGCTGAGATCTGAGGATCATAGTTCAAAGTTAGCCTCAAAGCTATCTCCAATTAATCAGCAAAAAGCTGGAAGTAGAGCTGTGGCACACACACACACACACACACACACACACACACACACACACACACGTCACCCCTACATACAAGATGGCACTCCCACAGCAGGGAACTTAGGCCCAGCTTTCTCCCTGTGTCTGTCTGCACTTACTGCTGCCTTAGTTTGGTTTTAGCCACTCTACTAGAAGGAAGGGGCTGTGGTCCTGGGGAGGGTGATCCTGGGCGTGGGTGGGGCAGAGGATGGAAGTGTGATGGGAACAGCAGCCCTGCATTCTCTCTGGAGTTTGGGGTGGGTTCCCCCTGCCCCGCAGAGGGTTCTGCTCCTGTCTTAATCTCGTACAACCATAAGGGAAAGAGCCTGGAGTTTTGTCTTTTCACTTGAACACTTTCCTCCGAAAAGACACCGCGGTGTGGGGGCCAGGGGTCTCCATGGAAACAGAGTGGATGGAGACCCATCACATCCCACGAGACGGAGTCCAGGAAATTCTGTGACCTGCAGGCTGGCGGTGCGGGAAAGCGTCCTGGTGAGGGAGGCTGGGGTGGCTGTCACCACATGGGGGGTCCTTTGTGACTTGGGGGCTCATCTCCTCTGGGAAGAATCCCACAGGCACAGCCCACCCTATCGCCTGCTCGCTTATACACCAGAGTGGCAGCACCCATAACTTCCTGTTCTTTGGGAAAGCAAAAGCCAGCCTTGGAATGAGGGGGTGGATCCCTCACACCCGGCTCTCCAGCCACCCCCCAAATTCGAGCAGGTGGAGTTGAATGCACACAGGCCTTGTTATAGGCCTCCACGTGGTGGTGCTGGCAGAGGTTGGAGAAGAAGGACGGTGTCAGGAGGCAGCAGATTCAAAGGCAGGCCTGCTTGGGTTGCGAGCACACAGGTGGGTATCTGGGAGGACTTCCTGGAGGAGGCAGGGACATAAGAGGCTCACAGGCCCTTATCAGGACCCCATTTTCTAAGGTCATACTGAGCCTTAAAAGGTAAGATAGCAAGCAGGTTAGGATGAAAAAGAAGGTGGTGTCCACTTCCAGACCACAGTTCAGCTCCCTCAGAAGAAGCTTCCAGAGGGCCTGGCAGGCCCCGTGTCTCTTCTGCACAGAGGAGGTCAGCGAGCGGCAGCTCCCTTAGACCACCCCTGCTCAGTCAGCCCAGCGGCAGTACCATTACTGAGTTCAGAAGCCTGCCAGGCAAAACTCTGTCCCATCTCCGTCCACAGCCGTCTGCTCAGAGAGGTTGGGCAGTTTGGTGAGGGTCCCACAGCTGGCCATTGTGGGCCAGGAATTCCACGCATCTTTCCAAGCCCCCTCACCTGCCTCACCCATCCCGCCCTGCCCCGCTGCCTCTGTCTCCACACTGCTGGTTCCTCCTAGACTTGAGCAAGGGTCAGTACCCCATCCTCAGCCCAGCTCCCGGGGGTTAGGCCCGGCTGGCCCTGGAGCTCAGCTTTGTTCCTCGTTTGAACACACAGTGACATCTGTGTATCTGCCTCCCTGTGGTCTGGTCCAGTGTCTCCTCAGGTGGAGGAAACCGCTGTTGCTGGAATCACCTGGTAGTTTCGTTTAAAGAGATTGCATTGAGCTGCACCGGTGGCTAATGCCTGTAATCCCAGCTTCTCAGGAGACTGCGATCTGAGGACTGTGGCTTGAGGCTAACCCAGGCAGGAAAATCCATGAGACTCTTATCTCCAATTAGCCAGCAAAAAGCCAGAAGTGGTGCTGTGGCTCAAGTGGTAAAGCACCAACCTTGAGTACAAAAGCTCAGGGACAGGGTCCAGGCCCTGAGTTCATGTCCCACAACCAACACACACACACACACAAATTAAAAAATATAGGTTGAATCAGACCAAGGGGTGGGGTGTGCGCCTGGGCCACCTGCGTCCTGGGTGGGCTCTTTCTCACCACCTGTTTAGTTTGAGGTGTGACCGAGCATGAGCACAGGCTTCCAGCCCCCCAGGGGGCCAAGGCTGCCTCAAGGGCTCCGGGATGCCCTACCGACAGTGTCCCTGGCGGCTGGGGACATCGGCATTCACAGGAAGCCCATCAGCCTCTGCAGCAGGAAGACTGAAGTGATCAAGTCTCTGCCAGCTCAGTTGGCCCAAGGCAACAGGAAGATGCTGCTCGCCACACAGTATCGCCATCAGTTGTGGCTGGGACCCAGGCCCAGGTGGATGGGGCAGCGCTCCTGAGGCTCCTCCCTTCAGTGCGTTCAGCCACTGAGCTAAGAGCACCCAGTCAGGGCCCGAGGCCAGGGGAGCCTTGGGGCTCCAGAGCTCTGCAGCCCGGGGCTGGGGAGGCAGGCCCCACTCAGCTCCGTGTCCCCATCCCCCTCCCTGCTCAAGGAAGAAGGGAGAGACGCTCCCAAGAGGAGCTGGGCCTGGCTTTGCTTTATTCTTACAGCATTTAGTCCTGCAGGCACTTCTGGCCTCTTAGTTGATCTAGAACAGCAATCCCATGGAGCAGAGGGGCTCTACCTGTCCCTGCACATTGTGCCTTGGTGCCAGCAGCCCTCTGGCTGCCAGGAGGCCCTTCAAGGATTCACCATGACAGCCATCGGAAGGCCTCCCTGAATGTGATGGTATGAAGCAGTGAAGTGAAGACACAGGTTGGTTCCCAGCCTCAGGGCTGAGCCAGGACCTGCAGCCTGGCCTGCCAGGTCTCTCTGTGCCTGTCTTTGACTCCAGGGAAGCCTTTTATTTTAAACTCATTACTTCAGAGATGGGACTGCCAGGCGAGACACAGGATACAGCCGGGCGCTGGTGGCTCATGCCTGGAATCCTAGGAACTCAGGAGGCTGAGATCTGGCAACTGAGGTTCAAAGCCAGCCAGGACAAGCAAATCTGAGAGATTCTCCAATGACCCAGCAAAGAGCCAAAAGTGGAGGTATGGTTCAAGTAGTAGAGCACCAGTCTTGAGTGAAAAGGCTAAAGCAAGAATGCCAGGCCTTGAGTTTAAACTCCAATACTAGCCCCCAAACAAACAAATGAATACACAACAACAAAAAGCTGGGCGCCGGTGGCTCACACCTGTCATCCTCGCTACTTAGGAG